TTGTTTGCATTTCTAAATCCATTCTGCCTCTTGGATGACCCAACATGATACAATAAGCTAACATCCTTTGATGAATCCCTTGGTGTTTTTTTGTTTTTCTGTAATCCGATTGTTCTAATTGAATCCTGTCTGAATTAGCAAGGTTGCCCTGCCCTCCTCCACAGTTTGTTGATGGGTGAGCCTGTGCAGCCACAGGCATACCAAGTGTTTTCGGGCAATGCACGCTTAAATAAAACTGAGTCAGTCAGGGGCTCTTTCTCAAGAACATAAGCAGAGATATTGAAACCATGGGAAGACGGTATTGAGAACTGGAACTGTAAATTCATGTTTAGAGTTGAGGCCAGACCTGGCACCGTGGTAACTTCAGACCTCACGTAAAACAAAGCTGTGAGGTCACAGAAAATAAAGGCCTTAGAGATGACGCAAGTCGGCCGCAGATATGGAGAAACAAGCAAAGATGAAACACTATAGCATCACCACTTTGGAATACAGTCTGGTGGTGTCTTAAACAAAACTGAAAATACTCCAGCCATCATGGTCCTTGGTATTTACCCAAAGTAGTTAGCAACTTACCTCCGCCCCAAAACCTGCGCATGGATGTTTATAGTAGCATTATTCATAATTGCCAAAACTTGAAAGCAACCAAGATGTCCTCAGTAGGTGAATGGATAGGCTGTGGTACATCCAGACAATGGACTATTACTCAACCTAAAATGAAATGCGCTATCAAGCCATAAAAAGACATAGAGGCATCTTAAATGCATATCACAAAGTGAAAGAAGCCAATCTGAAAAGGCTACGTAATGTATGATTCCAACTACATGACATTCTGAAAAAGGCTAAACTATGGAGACAGCAAGAAGTCAGTGGTTGCCAGGGGTTGGGGGCAGGGAGGGATAAGGAGTCCCAGGGAATTTTTAGGACAGCGAAACTACTCTGTGTGATACTATAAAAATGGATAGATACCATTACACTTTTGTCCAAACCCACAGTATTTACCACATTAAAAGTGATATGGTAAATGCCAGACTTGGCGTGATAATGTGTCATGCAGGCTCACTGGTTGTAATAAACGTACCATTCTGGGGGGGATGTGGGGAATGGGGGAGGCTGTGAATGTGTGGGAGCAGGGAATCGGTATAAGGGGAATCTCTTCCTCTCAATTTTGCTGTGAACCTAAAACTGCTCTAAAAAATAGTCTTAAAAAACAAAACAAACTATAGCATCTCAAACAAAATAACTTCCTGATGTCCAAAACCAACATTCCTTGCCCCAGATGACCCAAAGTCTGGCTGCACATGTGGCTGTTAGGCTCAGGGCCCTTTGTGCTCTTACATTAAATTCCTTAATATGGCAGCCAATTTGAGCCACAAAAAAGTTCCCAGATAATTGCTCAGAAACCAGTTTAAGTACTTACTCATCTCAGGCTTGGTTTCCTTTGAACTTAGTTCCTTTTCCAATACCATTAAAAAGGATCAGACTTAATATCAAATGGGTGTCTTTTTTGTCCCCCTTGCCTGACTCACATAAGGTGACATACAGCACTTGGGGTAAAGGGTCTTTGTATTTCCACTCCAGGTGTTTGCAAACCTACCAAAATCCTAGGTACTTTGAGATAAACTTTTCCAAAATGTAAAATGCAAATGAACCAGGTAAATCACATATAAATTTCTATTTAATTCTATAAACATTAACCAAAACACCTCTTACGTGGCTAGCAGTATGCCACTATTAATGCCTACGCAAATGATGAGCACAAGCATAATCCAGTGCAACTAGTAACAATATAAATTATCAAGTTTAAGCACGCTACACATTGTAGGTATTTAATATTTATTGCTGTTAGGTGTTATGGCAGACAATGCATTAGCTCTAATTTAGCCGTAATTACATTTCAGGTATTTACAGGTAAACCAATTATTATTTGAGTTAAAATAGTTTCAAATGTGTCAGGTCTGTCAGTTCTTCTGGACGGTGAGATCCTTGTAGTAAAGTTCTGCATTTGATTTTGGTTTTGCAACCACCATCACTTAGCATAGGGTCTTAGTCATTTAATACACTTGATTGAGCTTTAGGACAATGAAACAAGAAAATACTGTAGCGCTTTAGAGATCTTCTTTTTGGTCCTATGTAAACTACTTATTTTGTTATTTTCTCAAACTATAACTAGACCCTGTAAGTATCAATATTACAATATATTTAATGTGAATATCAAATACTTTATTCTTGTTGACATCTTGAATTTATTCAAATTCTTTTAATTAAATCAGAATGAAAATAAGTCAACCAGAATATGTAATTTAAAAGATTCAAAGGATTTTTGAAGTATGTCTGAAATTACTCATTATCCAGTTATTCACAAATGTTTAAAATAAATCCCTGATCAGTAAGTTTTGAGACTCTAGAATATTAAACATTTAGTTATAACCTTGACATGAACTAGGTTTTCAAAACATGCCAAATAAAAAATATTTTAATGAGATGATTTGGGGAATATACTTGCAAAAGCTACTCTAAGGGCAAACACCACTTATTAATATATGTGATCTAATTTAGCCAAGGGTTTGCATTCTCTGTAAGGCTGTTTCACATCTTTTAAACTTGACTCAGATCCCCATCCCGATACCACGTCCGTTATCATACCCAGCATGTGAAATGAGCCTCTAATGATTTTAACTGTTAGAAATCAGAAAACTCAACAAGCTTTCCTTATGATTTGTCCTTTTATCCCTCATCTCATCTAATAGCCTGCTTTTCAGTCTCAGGAGGAAGCTGTGCCTCTTGTCTTTGCCAGGACCCACTCCACCTGTGGGTGCCATCGCCCTCATCCTCTCAGGATGTTACATAATCCACCCACTCTTTTCTGCTGCCTTCCTTTTTTCCCACCTTCAAATACGGTATCCTGTTCATAGAACAAAAGTGAAACTCCGTAAGACATCCTTTCTTCATGTTTATATATGCCTTTAAACAACTAGCCTACCTGCTCTACTGCCCCCTTTCACCACATTTCTCGACAGAAGCCTCTTCGTTTTCTTTTTTATTTTGGAAAGGTAGAGGACATGTTGCCAGCACCTACGAAAAGGTGGGCTTTCTGCTGCTTTGAAAGCCATGCGGCAGGCAGGCATCATCGCTCTTTTGAGACCTGTGATCCCAGACATGGTTCCTCAAGTGGCCTTGCTGTTCTCTCAGCTTCTCCAGAGGCCTCCTCGCTCTTGTCCCTGAGTGCAGCCGCTCTGTCTTCTAATTACCCTTCTAGTCACCTTCCAGCGAGGATTCTGTTCCCTCCTTGCCTAGAGCCTGCACGCCTCCCTGGTGCCTGCTGATAAGTATCTCTCCCCCAGGCAGACACTGGGCTCTCACTCACACTGTGGGCTGCTCCCCCACACACCCCGCAATCAAGCAAACCTCAACTATGTTCCACTCACCGCCCTGGACTTTCCAACCTCCATGCCTGGAACGACTTTCCTTTCTCCCAAGAGAGGCCTATCAGCAGCTATCAAAACTTCAAAGACCAAATCCCCACCACGGCTCAGCTATTCCAGAGCTTTCGCTTGACGTTCTGGAAGCTTTCATTGGAATGTCATGCCATGGATCCCGTCCTTGGATTACCTTCCTTAAGGAGGGTGCAGGTTCTTCGGAGGGGGCCTCTGCCATAGAATAGCAAACACCAAGTCCAGTGGTCTTCGGCTTAAATCCCCCTTATTTTTTCTGTGGCCATGACCAAGTTATTTCCCACTTTAACCACCAGTTTCCCCAGATGGAAGATTGAAATAACAATACTGCCCCCACCTCCCATAGAATTATGGTCAAGATTACAAGAGATAGCAAAGAAGTATCGGGCACCAAAACATGTTTACAGATTTGATTTTTTTTTCTATCAGATCCAATTTACTTAGTTTAGGCTGAAGCTGCCTGTGGTAATAAAACATGTCATTTCCCTCCCCCCCCCCATTTTTTTGGACAGGCTATAGCTTATAAATGCAAACATTTGAATAGTTCACATTTATTCTTGTTTTTCTCTAGGGAAGCAGAAAAAGAACACTGCTGCTTTAAGTATTGTTCCTTAAAATGAAATGGGAGGGAGGGAGAGAGGGGGGAGAGGGAGTAAAGGAGGGAGGGAAGACCTGAGAAAAGGAGGGAAGTTGAGGGGGAGGAGAGAGAAACAGAGAGCAAGGGAGGGAGACAGAAAGGGGGAGAAATAGTCAATGTTTTTATATGAGAAAGTAGAATGTTATTCAACTGAAAACACAGAAGCACTTCCAAAACACTGTATTTATAAAGCCCAATTTCTTCAGCTTTCAAAATACTACAAACACAGGTCAGCCTGCAAATCAAATAAGTGTTTCCCATCTACTTTAAGCTTTCTGAAGTAACCTGCTTGTAGATGAATCTTAAGCAACTTCTTGCCTGTTTTCTTAACATGGCTTGGCCAGGAGTTGTGAACATTGGCTCAGAAGACCTGATTTCACAGTGACCAGCCAACACGCCTCGCAGCTTAGCCCTGAGTAGGGCTGTGAGCCAAATTGGGCCCTGGCTCTGTGCAGAGAAGAGTTATCCTAAATAACCACAGCAAAAGGAAGTAGGGAGGCTCTGTTCTAATCACACAAGTGAAGTTGGCTAAAGTCTGGCATTTTCTAAGCCTCCCACAATGAAAATAGCAACTGTAAATGTGAGAAAACATCCCAGGACCTAACTTCTACATAATAGTACTGATTTGGTTCCCTTTTCGGGATGCTGAAGACATCCCAAAAAAGAAACCTACATTACTTTTAATCTGCCACAGAGCTTGGCGTTACATCAGTCATCTTAAGAAAATCTAAGAACTTCAAAATGCATTAATCTCCAGTAAACTGGATCTTTGTAACATAGTCATTCTTAGTGTTTTGGCAAAGTAGTGCATGTCACTAACTTAATTGGTGGCAGGTTATTTTCCAGTTGTCAAATAATCTTTTCCTATTTAAGAGTCAGGAATAAAAACATTTACTCATAAAGGAATTGAATAATTTGGAACACAAACAACATTAAGTATTTATTTGAAAAACATTTTCCATTTAGGTAAAATGGCCAATCAGCCATAGTAGCTTCTTACTATTAATTTTAATTTGCCCTCACAGTCACTTTTATTCATCATATTCAAAGATATTGCTATAGAAAACTATTTCACAAAGTATTTAGAAAAAAATATATACAGTCTCTCCAACAAAAAGTTAATTAAAATAACAGAGCCAGGCGATACAAAGCTAAAACAAGCTGACATTCATAAACACAAATAAATAAATATGTACAAAAGAGTCTATGCCAACAATGCACAAAGAAAAGCTTTACAGTACAAGGAATGGTGACAAGGACAGAAAACATCTCAGGAGCCTTGAGTAAGACTCTAACACAATGTAGTTTAAAAAAAAAAAAAGAGGAAAAAGAAGAAAGAAAGAAAAAAAAAACCAGAGTCCGAATTGATACTATCTTCAAAGTTCAGTTAAACTAAATTTTTACTCCACAGCCTAATTCCTGTAATTCTGTTCTGAGGGGGCTAAACGAATTTGGCTCCGTCTTTTATATCCATTTCTATTCATCTGTTTCTACATATTTCCTTACCTCGTTACTGGAAATTTCTAAAATGGAGCTGACATTTTTGGCAAATATGAAAAAAAAAAGTTCCCCCAGATGTAGATAAATATGAGTAGAAATCAAAGCCATTTTTGAAGCTATTTCTTAATTACTATTAATTCAATAAGCACTTTCAGGTAGAAATCTCACAGTAGAAAGCTAATTAAGTTCTATAAGACTCTCTAAGGCTTGGGGGGAACGTATATGAAGATTCAGTGACTAAGATTAATTTTCATCTATACATAACCTCAACCGGAAAAAGCAGCCTGTTAATATATGCCTACAGGAACAGATCTGGCTCTACTGCAGTGAATCCTAGTGACCTTAAGGTTTACTATCCTTCCTACTATTTACACCCTTTCCCTGTGAAAGCCAAGCTGGGCAGTGCTCAGGTCTTCCAGGACAGTGCTCCACCTTACTGCAATGGAATAAAAACCCACTACCGCATTATCTTGTCACCCATTCAAGTCTGGCAAATAGCTTCATGACTGAAGATCAGCAAAAGGTAAAGGGCCCCTTGGTGGCTGCAGAGCCTGAACATTCTCCTGTGTCTCTAACCAAGTGTTACCTGCTTTCTGAGCAGAGGGAAAGACCCCCAGGTGCTCAGTTCTGGCTTCTGCCTTTAAGCAGATTGGCTCCAGAATGTCTCTTCTCATTGCTTAGGCTGCCACCTCCCAGAACCTGATACTTCCCAGACAGCCCAGAGTAAATGTAAGGGTACAGCATGTACTGAGACCGATTTCTAAGAAACTGGATACAACTCCATCATTTAAGAACAATTAAAATGTGGTCTCCTACACATTCCCTAGCAAGCATATTATTCAGGAGAGTTTGAAAGTTAGGTAAGCTGCTTAATATTATGCATGGCTTGTATGCAGAAACCTAATCCATAAATAACACACCATCTATCTTGCCAGACCTCCTCTGGCTCTTATAATCAGAGGACTTATGTACAGATAGTTTTTAGGCTAGCAATTGTAGACCCACATGTTTATAAATTATCTTGATTATGATAAGTCATCCACAAGTCTCAGTTTATATTCCTTGGAACAGAACTCTTAAAAGGGGAAGTAAGAGGCTTTGCATTTGTGCAACTGTAAATGTCTTAAAGTCTGCAGAGCAAGGACAGGAAGAGAGAGTCTTAATGGTTGTATTCCCTAAAAGGGAGAGACTTCTCTGCAGAGCTTGCCTAATGGAAATTCTCATTCCTCCCATGAGCCCGTGGGCTCAATGTTCAGGAGAGGAACAAAAGCAGAGGTCTAAGAGATTCATTCCTCAACAACTCCTGGGAAGTCCACATTATTGGAACATCAACACTAACGTTAATTCAAATGTATGAGATTAAATTATAATTAATGACGCTTAAGCCTTGTGTCTTGAATAGGATAAGTGAATAGGATAGTAGAAATTTATATGGCCTCATATTAACTAGGTCCAAATTTGGGGAACTCTTTCTTTCTTAAGCATGTTAAGGCATTTAACGTTAAACATTTGGTGTAATATGAAAAAATTCCTTTCGAATATTTGGGTCGGATATTAAACATTCTTTGTATCTGTGGTTAAAATTTCATTGAAAACAAGGAAATGCTATTTTCTCATAGAAACTAGCAATGAAATGAGACTTGTGGGTGTCAAAATACTTTATAAATATTAGTATGCTTTGATGGTTGAGAAGATGATGAAGAAAATGGCCATATCCACACCTAATTATTGGGTAGGATGCAAATGAGTTCTAAATTAGGGTTTCTCCCTAGCTCTGTTTCTCGCTTGTCCTCTATATCTCCCCAAGATCTGATTAGTCTGATTCAATTACACATTTAAAAAAATCATATTCCCTGCGGCTACTGAGTCATTTTGCTGTCAGTACTGAAGGTTTAGTGATGGTGGAAACTACCCAACGGAAGAAATACACTGAAAAGACAGATTTTTAATTTCATAAAAGCCTTCTTACCAAAATACATTCCTCATATATATACATATGCAGTTACCTAGGTAACAGCACGTTTACATCTGCTAGTCACAGTTTTCACTGCTTGTAGATCGTCACATTTCTGCAGACTGATTCCTTGCTCTTATAGCAAAGACATTAAAACTTTGTGCTGTGGCTGAAGGTGTCTGACATGATAATATTTTTATAGAAGTTATCTGAATGAGCATTGCAATAACCCTTGACCTTATCAATGACCTGGTGAACAGGGATGATTGATGTTTGTTCTCCATCAGCATGGGTCAGTTTTGATGAGGACTTGTCCATGGAAGCATTGTCTGCAAGAAATGATACAAGAAATTAGTCTGCAAGGATCGCCGGTGACGTGCCTGAGGGCCACCATGTGGGGACACATATTTTGAACCTTGGAACAGAAGTGAAGCTCTGTTCTTTCTTAGGTTAGGTAATAGGCAGCACTAAAAATTCATGTTTTTCATCTTCAAAGTGCATTCCTAGATATAAATGAATGTTAATTTGCCTTCTAGTAGGGGTTTGTGTTGGGGTTTGTTTTAAGAAATATCCTTGTAAGTGGCATTATTCAGGGTCGATGAATAAAATAATCAGAAAATTGCCTCAAAAAATGTGGGAAATGCTCAAAAGAAGTGACAGATTATATAACAAGTGAATTAAAAGATACTGAAATATTTATGGACGAATGATGCCTGAGATGTTTTCAAAATAATACAGGGAGAGAAAAATGAGTAGTCGGCTATGAGTTGAGAGGTACAAAGGATTTGTTATATGATCTCCTCTATTTTTTATATATGATTGGCATTTTTCATAACATTTTTATAAAATATAATTTAAAGAATTTTGGAGAATAAAAGTGAATGAAGATAAACATAAAAGGCTATTTTGAACACATTTCCCCCATGGTTTTTTGCCTTGTGAAATGATTGGAGTATAGAAAAAAGGAATCTTTTATTCATTATTCTAAATTATAGAAATCAAAATTATCTTTCTCAACAATATTTGAGTATATGTTTTTAACTGTGCTACAGTCTCAAAATGATGTTATTGCTAACAGCAATTATATCAGAGCAATTGATAATAAAGGACTGCTAATATATTTTTGTGCCGAATTTCTCAATATCATATATTTAAATATTATTTCCCTAGAGCCAAAAGTTTCTAAAACTGGTACAGAGAGTGCTCTGAAACTCATTTAAGCTCTATTATCTACAAATACACATGGCTATCTTTAGGTACCCTATGAATATCTTATATTCAGCCCTGCTCCCTCTCCCAACACATTTTGGAGAAAAATTCTACCTTAAAATTAACCACAGAGATTTCACACTGATGAAGGAGCAAATACGACCTTCTACAAAGTACTCAGTTTCCTACAGCTGTAGCTTCCCTACTCACTGTGGAAGAGGCAAACACTCTATCATGAAATACCGCTTCTAGGAATCATGGCTGCAGTAACTGGACTGCTCGATCCAGCCATTTTACGTTTTGCGCAAACTGGACCCAGTATGTGACACAACATTAAAAATCCACCAATAATTGGTAACAAGCCATCATCCCTATATCTGTTTTCTTTGGAAATGATTCAAATTGTTCAATTGTGATCCGGTGTTGGAACAAACACTTAAATGAAGGCTGAAACAGGAAATGGCGTGTTCATCCCGCACTAAAGGAAGCAAGAGTGAATAGATGGTTTGCGGGGAGAATGGGCAGACTGAAGCGTGGCAGAATGAGGATGTGCCCGGATTGGTGAGAAAAAGGCTCAGGGTGTTCGCTGCGTAAGGGCCCCTCCCATTCGGCTCTCAGCAAGCTGGTTGATTCTGGGCTTTCCTTCATTCAGTTCATGTATTCACTAGCCATTGGTTTTCTGTTGGGGATTTTTACATTGACTTAAGTCTCAATAATGAACAATTTGTGCTTGATATTTTTAGAAAACTACACATCCTCAAAGAAACTTCAAGGATATAATCATTCTGCTTCACTGACAACATCCAGGGGCATATATGTTTCAGAGATTTTTGACCAGTTCCATTCTCAATATGTGACCCAGTTTCTGAGTCTTCATAGTCTAATACAGTAAAATTCTGAGCAAGGACTGTTATTTCAATATCTATGCAATTCCCAGTCCTCTGGTTAGATTATACATTATAGGCAATATAGATTTTGATTGTGGCTAAAGTTTGAAAACCAGGGGCTAGGGAAATGAACTATTATTTAACCTATGCTGACAATTCAAGCAGATAAAAATCCTCAAAAAGCAGGCTTGGGATTGACAATTTCTCTTGTATGACTTCTGTGAATGTACCATGACATATCCAGTAATTCATAAGAGCAGAGGAGAAGTAAAGCATTTCATTTTGTTCCCTTCCCACACAAGCCTCTCAAGTATTGCTTTTTTTTTTCTGTTTCATTATTTTACCTGATATGTGACCTACTAACTCTCGAGCACGGTACATTTCCTAGAAGGAGCAGCTTGCAGATACCCCCATGCAGAGAAGAGCCAGCACAGCACACGACCATCTGAAATTTCAGAAATTCTAGCTCGATGCAGGAATGTCATTGTGCCAGCTGAGAAGTATTGTACAGAACAAGCAATTTTGCTGATGCAGCAAGAATCTTAGTTGAATCCATGCAAATATTCTCGTATTACCTTGCGAAAAAGTCATGCATTCAAAAAGTAATAAAAGTTTACCTGAATGATCCACTTTTGTTGAAGGAATGCTCTTAGAAGACATTATCTATACCATAAACATATGAATTTCTAGATCAATTCCAAGAAATAAACCAACTAGATACCTATGATACGCAGTGACTCTATGCATACTTTAAGTGACCCAACACACCAGCAGTCCCCCTGAGAACTGGCGAGGCAGCAGGAGGCCATTTGTGTGTCAGTTGATGAGAAACCAGAATTTATTATATCATAGAAGTAATATCATATAGCTGGCTATATCCTTAAGTTAGTTGACAAGAGCCCACTTAACCCCACGGGTTTTATTATGGGAAACAGAAAAACATTAATGATTCTTTAAAAAAAAACAAACAGATTTTGAAACATTAGTTTTTCTTTGGTGCCTCCATTTTTGTATTTCCTTGTATCTTTTAGTCAGTCTTCCCCATGGTCCTTAACACTTTCAAATATTTCAATAATGCTTCCCCAATGCCCTGTATTCCAAATTGTCCACCTTGTTATCTTCTCTCCTCTTTTAATAGTGGCGTTTCTTCAAGCTAGCTATTCTCAGCTGTGTTAAGAGCAAAAGAATTCAATTGGTCTAACTCCTATTCTTTCATAACTGACTTATAATACATTAACTATTTGCATTTTAGAAGGGGAAGCAACATGAGTATCTAATTTTAAGGTTGACCATATAAAGTGAAGAATTGATTCGTTATAAATAGAAGATATTTTGTGCCAGGAAACTACTAATTAAGAAGAAGAATCTATCTCAGGCTATCTCAGATGACACCTGTTATTCATTTTCTTACACAGGTGTTTCAAGCAGGGGTGCACAGGTCTCTCAATTTTAGGCAAAACTGTCTGTGTACCAAATCAAAGGCTGCAACTTATTCTGGAAGAGAGTCCATAACTTTTGTTTGAGTCTCCAAAATATCCTTGACTCCAAGAAACTCTTAAACTGTCTCAAGTTTTCAGATCTCTCTTTAATTAATTTCGGAATTAACCATCTCTCTATACACTCACACATTTTCCCGCTGGGCTATCTTGAATCCCAGAAAGTGGCCACTCCAGTGGAAGGACAGGGACATAGACAGTGGGACAAACGGACTTGTGAAAGGATTCAAATGTACATAAGGGTCATCTGAAATTCAAGTGTTTGCAATATGCACCTTTACACATCACACAACACCCTCCCTACTTGAAAAAAGCCAAAGGTGAATTTTTTTTCTGTGCCATTCACTGCTGCTTATGTTCAGTAGCTAAACAAATTCAAAATTAAAAAGTATTTCCATCATCTTTTTAGAAGCATCTGTGATGAAGAAAGTGTTATGCGTCGACAGTTGTTTTCTTGAGGTTTAATTAATGTTTAAAAGTAGCAATTGTGCGACTGTCTTTCAAAATTATTAAAATACGCCCCCTTTTTACACCATTTACTGGCTCTCAAGTACCGCACAAGAGTATTTCCACATCGTCTTCAGGATTGTTTTAACACATGCTCAGTATCAGAACGTGTGGTCATTGTAAACATGAAGATACAGGAAATCAATAAAGGTATGGTGTTTCGCACCATCCTGTATCACTCTCCAAATAGAATGCGCTCTACTCTTTCAAATTTAATCAGTATTTAAACAACTGCCAATAATACTTCCAGTGGTTAAGGACTTAAGTCTTAAATGTGACATACATCCTGGATGGTGTTGCTTCCTGTTCCCATGCCAAATTGCCATGTAACTTTCATACTATGCTGAAATACTCCGCAACTCAATTTCTATATTGTTAAAACACATAACTTGTTAAATAAGACACTATAATTTTTTAAAGAAAACTAAGTTTTCAATCAAATGAAGTTGCAATACTATTCAGATTTAATGATATTATGGCTATGTAGGTTCAATTTTAGTTGTAAAATTTATATATATACACATATATATATATATATATATATATATATATATATTCTTTTTTTTTTCACAAAGGTGCCACATAAGGTCTTCAATAGATTTTGATTTTCAGGAATTTAAAATTAGCAGCCTAATGGGCACTATGCCCTATCAGTGTTCATGGTATGCCAGTTTTCACAATGAAAACGTGATGAGAACTGTACCAGAGAACATATTTACAACACAGCCAGAAGGACTCACCGGTATGGCTATTCCTTTTGAAGTAGGTAGTAGAGCTGGATTTAGATTTGGATGTAAGGTAGGTTGAGTTGGAACCAATGGAGCTTGAGGACAAAGATTTTCCTAGATTATCAGAACTTTTCTTGATGATATTGGTAGCTGTCTTACTCCAGTCTGCAAGAAATGACATCTCTCCATGAATCTGCTTTATGGGGAATATTTTCTGCCCTGAAGAATCATCACTGAATTATTTAAGTAACTTATCCAGAACAGTAAATGTAAACAAGAATTAACTGAAGAAACAGTAAGTTTCTTACTGTGACGCTGTGTTTGTATTATTTAAAATCTTACTTTAATATCCTAAGGGTGAGAAGTAACCACTGATGGTTAAAAGAAAAAGTAATACGTTTCTTCAGGTATCGTTTTTTTATAGTATTGCAAAAAATCTCTTTGTCTAATAACGTAATTGAGAACCTCAAAAATGTGGAAACGTGGGTGTGGTACCGTGGAACCTCTGGATATCTGACTTGTTAAATTAGCTGTAAAATCTTAGGCAATTCACTTAACCTGTCTGGACTTGATGCTTCTCCTTTGCGGAATAGATGGGCCTGGCCCACAGTCCTCAGGTCTCTTGCAGTCTGAAAATTCTAAGACTCCAACTAAGCATCCTCCCATATTCCACCTTTACAACTTGCTACCACTGGGACTGGGTTGTTCTGATGATGGAAGGCCAAATGACAAACATGCCCCACTACCACTCCTAGGTGGGAAAACCAGTTCCCAACATGCCCCTTTACCTGAGTTGTCTGCTAACCGGAATCTGCCGCAGCAGAGATGCCGCCTCCACTGCTTCTGGACGTTCTCCTTCATAGCACAGTGGAAGATAAATATAAACAAGCCTGGGACAAAAGAAAATATAAGCATTTAACCCACAGACACATTTTTAGAGACAAATCTTATAAAACACATGGATTCATTTAATTTTTTTTTGTTTTGTTTCCTTTTGACATCTGAGTCACTAAGAAACAAAGATTGAAAGGTATCGAAGTATGTAATAGTAGATGTTTTAATCCTTTAGAACAGAACACAGAGGCTCAGGACAACCAGAATAGTTATACAGATCTGGTTCTGTCTTTGCCTGTTCTGTTCAGCACTCACCATGACTTAACCTAAAGACTAAGCTGAAATAGGCAAAATTCAATTTAAGAGTCATTTAATATTTCCTTTTATTTGTTTTTAACAGTATGTGAAAATTTTCACAAAGTTTAGAAAAAAGAGAAAACCGAAAACATCCATGAGCTCATCATATACTTCAATTCATCTATTCTAAGCTATTTTATGTGGGCATGTAAGTTTGGGCCATTGAAAAGTGGTATTTTTTGCAAATCAAAAATGGCCCCAAATCAGCAAATTTACGTAGCTCCACTTGGCCTGCTTTAGTTTCTCAACATTTGAATACAGAAATATCTCTGTTTTGTGAAATAGTCTTCATTTTCATAGTTACTCCCTGCAGTTATTAAAAACTAAACTTGTATCACTTGTGCTTTGGAAGCCAACCCCTTTTAACTTTTCAAGGAATTTGCTTCTGCAGTTTAGCCTCTCTTTGCTGTCTCATCAATTTCTCCATCTATACTTGGTTATTCCCATTATTTACAAGCATATTCTACTAACCCTCTTTTAAAAGCCAACAAACATCCCTCCTTTAACCCCCAATCTTCTTCTATTGGGTTGTTGGAAAAGTCACGACACATTTTTGCAACGAAAAACATAGAAAAAAATACATCATGACTTTTCCAACAACCCAATAGCTTCAACTTCTTTATCCCCTTTCCCAATAAAACTTCTTGAAATGGTTAACTTTTGCTGTCTCCATTGTTTCTTATTTCTTCTCTTCTTAACCCATTCCCAAAAGGCTACTATCCACATCCACAGTGCCATCACAACTGCTCTTGTGACCCCCATACTGCCCATTTTACCAGTCCACTCAACAGCAGTCAACACAATTGACCATTCCCTCATTCTTGGAATGCATTCTTGACACCATTTTCTGCTGGCTTTCTTTCTAATTTGCTTCCTGGTCTCCTTAGCTGAATCCTCGGCTTTCCTTTTAAACCCTGACTCAGTCTTGGGTTTCTATCTTTTCTAGGGCTACACTGTTCCAGGAGGTTCTAATCTCATCCAGTCACATTACACAAGTACCACATGCTTTTATATTTGCCCCATTCCCTTCTCTCCACACCGCCACCAGGACTCCAACCCATACTGCTTCCAGGGCATCTTCACGTGGCTGTATCTCCATTTAGAAGCATCTCGGAAACCTGATGTTCTAAACAGAAGTCCTCTTCATCACTACCTTCAAACCAACAAGCTCATTCCTGCCCAAGACCACTTCGAAGGCTCTTTCCTCAGATCCTTCCATGACAGGTTCCTATCTATCCATTCAGGTCTCAGCTCAATTGTTAACACCTCAAAGAGGCAATCATCAAACATCTACTTTTAATGTTTTCGCCTCTAGTCACACCCTTGCACATAACTATTTTTGTCATGGGACTGATCAGTACCTGATATTCTTGTATTCCTCATTTATTCATTTGTTTGATTGAGTGCCTCTTGCTAGTATAAGCTCCAAGAGCACAGAAATGTTTATCTAATAGTGTACTGGCCATTCCCAGAACAATGTCAGGAACTAAGCATGAACTCTAAGAATGTTTGATGAATGAATGAATAGTAACCATGATTAATCACTCACCTATTCTACAAGAGTTACTTGAACACTTACATGTGCATATTAATGTGTTAAATGTTTTTGGGGATGGGGACTTAAAAACAAGAGTAGAGCACAAATTAAGGGGCGATAGGCTATAATGAAAATATCTTCAAGGCAAAAGTTTCGGAAAAGCATGGAAATTAGTTACCAAGGTACTGCTTTAGTAATATACCATATAACACAGTATATCTACATAAGGGAAGATCTTTTAGAGGATGTAGGGCTTGAACTGAACCTAAAGAAATGTTTGGGTAGGAAGGTAAGGGAAGTTTCCAAGAAGGGCATTTCATTCAGTAACTACTAAGCACTGCTGAGCTAGAGGTACTGTGTTTTAGGAGTCGGAAGTTCAAAGGTGAACCAGGTAGACGATTATTGCTTTCATGGGGCAAAGGGTTTAGCATGGGAAAGCATAAAAGTAAAAATTGTTACAGTATATTTAGTAGACATTAAGACTTATTAGTCCTTTTTGACTGTGGAGTATCCTTCAGAAAACTAAATTACATTGCCGTGTGTACAACTGGAAAAGCGGGAAAAAGTATTGCGAGTACGCTCTTTTGGTGCATGTTAAATTTGAAAACTATATCTAAGGCTAAACTTATAAGTTTTTCAATATCTTAACTCACAATGGCCCTTAATTTGATTCCACAATAAACTGTATTATATTTAGTTATTAGAAAGGGAGTGTGCTGGAATTCTCCAGGGTGGGCCTGATCGCAGTGACATGGCCGTGGTTGCTTCTCCTCCTCTGGGTCTGCCTCCTTGTTCGGTCATCAGTGAATACCTGACACTTAGTAGTAGGTGCTCTATAAATTCCTGCTGAAATTACTGACTGAAAATGATTACTTACTTTGACTTGCAAGGAATGTCACCATGAAAAATACCAATTAAACTCTGGTCACTGATTTCAAATGGACAACTAGCCTATTAAAAAAATTCCTGGTAAATTCAAACACATTCTCTCTGAGAGGTATAAATAAAGCATTCGGTGATCTAAGTGAAGTAACATTAGCATTCAGTGATCTTATAATTTTATTATTCCTATTACATCAACTTATGTATATTTATAGTTATAAAAGCAAAATAGTTTTATTTTTATAATATTATTTATTACTAATACTTCATTAGGAATAAAGTAATTAGTGAAGGAAATACATCCTAGTAACCTAGTTATCTGAAAGGGTATCAGATAGAGAAGGGACGTTTTAATTTTAAAAGAAACAGCTAATAAATATGAATTAAATTTCAATCATTCAGCATGCGCACACGTACATGTACACACACACATACATGTACACACACATACATGTACACATGCACACATACTCCTGAAGGCACCTGTGGTGTGGACGGGGAGGGAAGAGCTGGCAGAGACATTGCTGGAGAGCACACCTGCTAACAGACTGGCCTGGCCTGTGCTGGGGCATATCAAGGCTTAGAGGAAGAGAAAGATTTTCTTCCACACTCAGAATCCTTCCAAACCAGGACCTGCAGGCTGACCCACCTTTCCAGGCAGTAGGGAGGATGAGGGAGGACCTCTTCCTCATCCTCTAAATCTGATTGCTTTTCAAAGCCTTCCCACACCCACAGCCTCCAATTCCCTCACCCATTTGCCAACCCAGAAAATCCCTTTAATAAGTAAAAGGCTTTGTATCACAGGCAGCGCGAATCGCCAAAGTGTATAAGTAATTGGAATGACCAGATCCTTCTGTAAGAGATGGTGGAAGTTTCAGAGAGCAGTGAGCATGGAAGCCTGAGGGAAGGTCAACATAGTTTACAGATAAAGGAAGCTGTGGTTGAGAGGATGGGGTCCTCTCTGCCTCAGGCTGACTCTGTTTGTTACCTAGGACAGAATTTGCAGAACTTGTTTTTTGGAAGTACTTTTGTCACGCAGCTGGAAATATAGGTAACAATGTGTTCTCAAACATTAAACAAAATCACGTATTAGAGCTGGAAGAGATTATAAACTCCAACTGAGAACTTTCATTCCCAGGCATTAATCCAGGCATTACTCAGTATAGGGCCTCACACTGAGCAAATGATTTTTAGTTGAGGGCAGAAGGTGAAATATGCTCGATGTTGCTTCCCTTAACACTCAGTAGTTTTTATAAATGTCACATATACTGGAGGAGGAAACTTCAGAGGTTGTCTGGTGATTTGAGGACACTGGAAGAGAACTAGTTTGAAAATTTGCACTTTCGGACATGCTGGGATGCTAAAAAGTGAATTATTTTGAGGATCTGATACTGACCACAGTCACAGAAGAGGAAGTTAAATGTAAGACAAAAGGGACTTCATAAGACCATTTCTAAGATTGTGCAGTGCTGTTGTAAATTATAATTACAGAGCATTAGATAACATTGCCTATTTTTAAGGCTACCACATTTGCCTGTAAACATACAGACATCCAACAAGTTAGAGACACTGATATACGAATTAGATTCAAAATCTGATACATCGCCTCTAAAATTATGTGACAGAAGGGAAGTCATTTAAACGCTCCATCCCCCACTCTGAACTATGATGCAATGGAACCAAATTAGATGGAATAGGCATGGAAATTAGAATTCTTAGCAATGAATGTATTTTTAAATTCCAAGGTAGTATGCGGATTCTTTTGTCATGAGATAACATTTCCATTTTAAGTCAGAACAGGTTTCTCCGAATAGGTTATTTCCCTATTCCTAGTAACTAGCCCTTTTTCACATGAGTTTAAGTTAGTCTCACAGTAATTACCACACCAAAATTTGCAGGACAAAACATCCCCTGTTGAGTTCAGCTGTGAGAAATGTGGTAGGTATCCATCTGGAAGTGCCCATGTACTCAGTATGGAAAAAAATTCTCTTTCAGGAAGGAGAAGTAGAAATTATAGTAGGAGAACCAAGGGCACTTGGAGGCCAAAATGGGAAAACAGAGGGTTATTCCGTCTTCAATTTTGAGGTTTTTTTTTTTCCATTTACTTACAGATTTGGGTGCCAGAAGGAGAATTAAAACCATAAGAGTTCTATGTTGACATCTAAGGACTCTGATGTCTCATCTCCATCTAAGTTTTCCCTTTGACAATCTTCGTATCAACTGCACGGCACCTCAGAAAGGCTTTTCCTACCACCTGGAAAAAATACGCTCTTCTAGCTT